AAAAAAAAAAAAAAAAAAAAAAATACCAATGGAACACGTTGCTTTCCCCAGCAAAGGGATAGGCTTACTTTCCTCACACTGGGGGTACCAGCCTGCTTTTACCTGGTGAGGATTCCAGTCACTGTCGAAAATGATCACAGTGTCAGCTGACTGCAGGTTCAGCCCGAGCCCCCCGGCCCGGGTACTGAGCAAGAAGATGAAATACTCGGAGCCAGGCTCATTGAAGGTTTTCAGCAGCATGCCCCGGTCCTCTGCTTTTGTGGTTCCTGATGGGCATAGGGAAGGATGGGGTCAGCAGGGTGACCTCAGGGGAGGCAGGGAGGAGACACCAAGAACTTCTGACAATAAGGAAAGTGCTAACCAGTGTCCCCAGGGGCCACATGAGCCAAGGCTCTGCACTCCAAAACTGTGGCTGTGACTATTATTAGAGAGTGACTGAGATTTACAGTGTGTTACTACTGAATGCCACGCTTCTCGTCCCAAGATAAAAAGGGCCGCACCTGCATATAAGGGGAGGGCTTGGCAAATTAAAGGAGGCTGGGAGGGAACACAGGGTCAACAGCTCCACTACCACCACCATATCTGGTACCACCCTTCTCTGCCCCATGATGCTCCCATGGGGAAGGGTGGGAGATACAGCAGGCAGTGCTGGTAACCTTACTTCAAAATGCAAAAGAGGATGTTCTGGACACAGTGGGAGCAACGTGGAAGATCATAGTGATTCCCAGGGCATCCCACTGCCCTCAGACACCCTGAGAAGGCAAGTGTCGGGAATGCACCTGCTACACCAAAGAACAGCAGAGGGAGCTTGAAAAACATTTTGAGATGAAAAAGTACCCCACCCACCAGGACCGCCAAGCCCTGGCAAAATGACTCAACTTGCAGGAATACCAAGTACAGGTGTGGTTCAAGGACCACAGGGCCAAACAGTCTCGGGAGCAGATCTGTCAAGAACCACCTGGGTACTGAGGCCACGGAGGTCATGGCCAAGGAGCCCCAGGAGTCTGGGCTGCACCCAGGCCCCAGGGCCCATGCCCCAGGCACCAGCCGCCCCAAGTTCCTGCACAGCCCAGGTTTCCAGAGCTCTCTTCTGTCCGGCCCCCCAGGATACAGTGCCCAAGAGGGCATCCCTGCTGCCCTAGGCCCCATGACAGGCCCAAGCACAACCCATTCCCAGGTCCAGGCCCAACTGCAGGTCCATTCCTAGGCCCATTTTTAGGTCCAAGCACAACCTCAGATCCAGGCCCACTGTGGTCCCAGAGCCCTTATGCCTGTGATTTCTCGGCAGACATTTCAACATTATCTGCTATCTCTGAGCTCCTCTCATCCCAAGATCCCTTCCAGGTCTCCTTGGTGTCCATCACCATATCTGGGCACCAAGAGGAGGATGATTTTGTGGATAAAAAGGACTCAGGCTCTAGGTTCCTACTGAATTTATAGGGCCTGCACAGCCCTAAAGATCTCAGGTGCCAGAGGGCCAGGAGAGTGGCTGGTTACTTTATGTCAGTGGAATGCACTGCCCTTTACCCAATCTGCTGGAGGGGCCCATTTGCTGCCTTAGCAGTAGGCCATCACAGGTCACCCTGCTATGAGTGTCCTCACCTGATCACTGGTTGACTATGAATGTCTGTTAACTAGGAGTGAAGGCTGCTCTTGGAAGCCCTAAAGCTTTCTTTCTTTTCTTTTTTATTTTTTTTCAAATTAATGAATATATAATTTTTGGATTACATTGTTCTCAGTTCCAGAGTAAAGTTATATTTGCAGAAGAGCCCCTCACTCATGGAGTGTGTTATACACTCTCACAATGTGCACATTAGGTGAGATTCCACCTCATGCCCTCCCTCCTCCTGCCAAATGTCCTCCCCTCCTTATTTCCCTTTGTATGAACTGAGCCAAAATAAACATTCTGGCACACGCACGCACGTGCGTGCACACACACACACACAAATGCAAAAGGGGACCTTAGAATGGGTAGAGAGTGACAGGGGAAGAGCCTGTGGCTAGAGAGCTAACACCTGTCCTACTGAGATGGGCTCTACTTTTTCACAGAGAATCTACTATGGGCAAGAGCATGGAAACTCCTAATGGGGACACAATGTCCACCAAGCAAGACCAGTGCCCTCTGTGCCCTAGAAAATCTGAGCAGAGATGCTGGTGAGGGGCTCCATGTGACAACCTATGACATAGACCAGCGGTTCTCAACCTGTGAGTCACGACCCACAGAACTATTAAAGGGCTGTGGCATTAGAAAGGCTAACAACCACTGACACAGACCCTCAGCACTAATAACATCAAGGGGGCGGCTGAGCTCCCTATGCTGCTGGCAGCTCAAGTCAAAGCTGCCAGTGGCAATGGGGACTGATTTCAAGGATGAAATGGAAATGGACCACTTCCTGCCACTGTACATGGCAGCGCCTCCATGTACTATGTATGCACAGTATCGAAGACCCACACCCACTGGATCCCAGCACCCATTGCCTGCCTTCTCTCCCTCAGGCTGCAGATGTGCTCCCGGCTTCCCCAGCTCCCCAGATGACACTGCAGTGAGAGATCAGTCAAGCTCCTTCCTTTCCTCTGCTCTCCTAAAAAGATTTTCTGCTCCTGTGGCTGTGACCATGTCAAGTGCTGGAGTATAGCTTTGGCTAAGGAGGCTAGTGCCTTTGTCCCTACAGAGCACCATGGACAGACGGGGAAAATAGGGCAGCCAAGAGAGTCTTAGGAACGGTGGGACCTGGGCTCTCTCCTGGGGTTTGGGGATGGCAATAGGAACCAGGGATAACACTCAAGAAGCCTTGGCCCTCTCAAAGACAAAAAAAAAGGCTGGAGCATGGTGAAGGGTGGGAGCGTGGAGGGGGTGTTCCAGGCCGTGTGTACCCTGGCAGGGTTTGGTTTTTAGGATCAAAGCAGTAAGAAGTTTCTAATGAAGGCAGGGATGGGAAGTGTGGGGTGGGAACTATGACCAGATTTCTGTTTTGTAAACTTACCCCAGATAGAATTCTGAGAAGGAACTGAAGGTCAGAGGGGCATGTGGGACTTGTTAGGATGGGGGTTCACAGAGACAGACAGGGGACCCATCAGCCCAGTAGAAGCTGCTCTGTGGTCTGAGAAATTGCAAGCAAGGCAGAACAGAGAGGTTTGGGGTGTCCTGTCAGGAGACAGACCTTGCAAAGCATAGACAAAGGCTGCGAAAAGTTGTGTAGAGAAGACATCTGCAGAGCCTTATCTGTTCCAGTGGCTCCCCAGCTCATGTTTTTAGTTAAGTCCTTAGGCTAACAGGAAGGGGAGCCTGGTCTAGGGCCACGGCCATCTTGACCTACTGCAACTACGGAACAACACCTAATAGCCTGCACCTCTAACAGCCTCTTCCTGCCAGAGCCCCCTTGAACAGAGGGGCTAGGGGAAGGTAGAAATACACATGATAACTTTCTACAGGGACCATAGGACACAGAGTTTTCGTGAACACTCTCGAAGCAGCTGCTGCTCTTGCCCCTACAGTGCCTGCTTCCTGTTCTCAGTCCTTGCCACTGGGTCTGATTTCAGCCCCAGACCTTACCCATGACATGTGGTGCACATCAGCTAAATGAGAGCAAGCCTTGGACCTCTGTCTGGGGCAGGACAGGTGGCCTCTCTGCTGGGAGCACTAAGCCAAGAGAAGAGAAGGGAAGCCTGAGGATGAAGCTAAGATGGAGGACAGTCCCCCAACACACAGTATTTATGCACCTGGATCCTGCTGTGCCTGAAGCAAGTTAACTCCTGCATTTCAGTTCTGAGTCTATCAATGCTTTTCTCCTTATCCCTTTGTGATACTGGTTTCTGTCACTCCCAACTAAAACAGGTTTGTTGGGCAGGTCTCCTCACCGGACCCAACATTATAGTCGAAAGACCACCAGCCTGGTGGTCAGGGGACTTGGCCTGTGATCCAGTCATGACACTTTCATGGCCAAAGCATGGCCCACGCTGGCCGCCAGACCTAGAGTGCCTCGTGTCGGACAGAGCACTGGCAAGAAACTCTGGCAGCCTCAGATGCCCCTTAACAAACACCTCCCTGGTCCCTACTCACCATCAAGCCTGAGGTATTTAAAGCCGCGATATGCAAAATAATCCTCCATGATTGTCATGAGAGAGGTCATCTGGCAGAACAGCAGCACTTTGTGGTTGGTTGCACGGAGTTTGGGAAGAATTCTATCAAGAAGCTCAAATTTACCCGAGGCTCTGTACAAGTCCAGTCTGGCGAGTGGAGGGAGGTGGGAGAAGGCACAGAAAGTTTAAGATGGCACCTTTCAGGCAGGCACAGGAGGAAGTGCATCTCTCATCTCCGGGTCAGGTAACAGGTTCAAGCACCAAGGTGGCTCCCTAAGTGGAACCCCACCAAGGTTTCAGCAAAGCCATTTCAGCCCAACTAAAATAAGGGCACAGTCAGGAGTGGTGGCTCAGGTCTATAATCCTAGCACTCTGGGAGGCCAAGGAGGGTGGACTACCTGAGCTCATGGATTCGAGACCAGCCTTAGCAAGTGTGATACCTCGTCTCTGAAAATAGCTGGGTGTTATGGTGTGCACCTTTAGTCTCAGCTATTGGAGAGGCTGAGGCAAGACAATCACTTGAGTCCAAGAGTTTAAGGTTGCTGTGAGCTATGACACCATGGCACTTTAACCCAGGAACAGAGTAAGACTCTGTCTCAAAATTAAAAAATAAAATAAAATAAAATAAAATAAAATAAGGGCATATCACCACATTGGACACATACTTTATAGTCTAGCCCAGATACTTAAAAGAATTAAAGCAGGTGCTGCTGGTAGTTATCCTGGGACAACAGGCTTGAATAGGGGCAGCTCCCAGGAAGTTGGGCTGTGTCCCCATGCTCAAGAAAGAAGCTCCAGGAACAAATGCCACATGGACAGTGTCCATCGCCTGCTAAATTTGGAACTAAGGGCCATCTCAACTTCTCTCATTCACTTTAGCTAACATACCCTGGTTTATAGATATGGAAACTGAGGCTGGCAGAGGCAGTATGATATGGCTGATAACATGCCACAGCCAGACCTTGAACCCAGGGGTGTAGAATCCCATTGTGCAATTTGATATGAAAAAAGTGATCATAAGAACTTTCTGCCCCTTTTTAAAAAATTAAGATTATTTTATTCATTATTATTTTTTAAATTTTATTTATTTATTTATTTATTTATTTAATTTTATTTTATTTTTTTTGAGACAGAGCCTCAAGCTTTCCCCCTGGGTAGAGTGCCATGGCATTACAGCTCACAGCAACCTCCAACTCCTGGGCTCAAGCG